TAGTCCTTTTCCAGTTTCCATCCCTCTCGCTTTTGAAATAGAAACATTGCTCCTTTTCTATCAGTTTTCTCTCATTTAAATTCACTACTTATTCATAAGAAAACAAAGGACGCCCTGAGAAGTGTTTGATACGATGATGGCGAGCCCTGATTTCCTATGAGAGAACTGCGAATTTCATGCAGTAAAAGTAGACACAGGAAAATCGCATTTCCTGAAGAATCACCGCTAAAAAAGCTGGTCTGGGCTGGTCTGGAAAGGATAATGGGCAAGAGGCAAGCATTTTGTCTATAGCTTCTTTAACTTACAATACATATATATACTTAGCAATCAAACTCGAAATATTGGTTTTCTGGGAAGCGTGATACGAGGAAATCGCACGCATTTCAGGAAATATTTCCGTCGTCAAAAGACTCATTTTCAGTTTTTGTACCTAATTGGAAACTTTTGGATTCAACCACGCCATTAATTTCTGGAAAACTTACGTAACAACATGAAAAAGTAGGTAAATACTTGCTTTATTTAGAAACGTTTTCTCTCTTATATTGCTTATCAAAAGTTTACTACCGCCATTAAACAATTACGAATTTTGGCATGATATTAAACTCAATCAATTTATGAAACACCCTGTATAATAAACGCGCATGCAAATTTAATAATTTGTTTAAACTTGGACTGTGAATTTGTTTTCATACTAAGCGAAATAATTGTGCTCAGTGTTTATTTAAATTATTTGAATGCCGATTTACGGATTAAACATCTGTTGTTTTATGAGCGAACAAACCGAAAATACAACGAAAAATCAAGGTAGTGTGGTAGTATTGAAATCATTCTGGTGCGTTGTTGTTGAACATTTTTTGAAAAAAATTGCGCTTAAAATGGATTCTGAGCCTGGAAATCAAAGCAAAACGGCTAATGGATATTCTAGATCAGTGAGCATGTTTGATGGTGATCACATGAACAGGTACCTAGATAAAAATCCACTTGATTAACTAGAATTTGGTTCCATTTGATTGTACCCTGGTTTGTTCAAGTTTTGATTAGGCTTAAATCGACTGATTTACACGAGCAAACGTTCAGTAAAACTTTGTGAATTCAGTGAATTCTAATGCGTAGACGCAGTATTTTGAATACGTCGGCGACCACCCTGTGCAGATGAAGAAAATTGAAATAATCCATGAAAGTAAATTCGTTTTTCTTTTGGTTGCAGAAGAACAAGATCTCTCAACGCACCATCACCAGTACAACATTTTGGACCATGTGGGCGAATTATGAAAAATTCGGCCATGGTTATGTAAGTACCATATTTGATCTATCTTAGTGGTTTAATGGGTTATTAAACTTTCTTTATTTATTGTTGACCCTTGTTAAGACAAGATTTATCTTCTGTATCTTATCTTACTAATTCTTATGTAAATTTGTAAATGTTCTTTGTGTTTTGCACCAAAGAAGCGCTCAGGCACTGGGAAAAACGATAAAGAACTGCAGAAAAGTTAGCCAGAATAAAAAATGAAAATACTGACAGGACAGGTTTTCTTACGATTTCTTCCATGATATTTTTCCCAAAAAGTTATCAACTGAATTTTTTGCTTTCATCGTAAACGCCAAACGTAATAAGCCAAGTTATCACTTAAATAATTTATCAATCATTAAATGCGAAATGAATTATTTAATGCGTATTGATTGGAAGATAGTTGCGACTGTCCTTGAGGCTGACTGGGTAAAAAATAATTGTGAATCGTTAATGCGAGTGTGAAAATTAACAGCTGACAATGTAAAAACTAAACGAAAATTAGTCGAAATAGCAGCTGATATAAATGAAACGACAGTCAATAAAACGTTTGCACGGAAAAAGTCGATAAAAATGTAAATTAAATGGCATCCGAATTGGAAATCAGCAAATATGACATACATCGAATGGGAACGGTGGGAAGTACATTATGCAATAAAACTGATAACACAAATAATGTTGTCAGCTAAATGAAAATGCAATATATCTGTTACTACAATTGACCCGATCCTCTGAAGGTGAAATATCTTGGTGAAGTAAAGTAATAATTATTTTTACCTTTTGGGTATTTTTGCATATTACACGTAATTCCACTTGAGCGAACGATTTCTATTTCACTGTAAATCGTATCTGGCTGCGAATAAAAGAACCAATAGAATACCGAATAATTTTTTTAAACTGCTTGAAACGCGAGTTTTCCGGCCTTTTAAGCCTAGAGCTGGTTTAGAGAGCGTAGAGCAAGCTATCTTTGAAGAAACACGGGCGAAACCTCCGGACAGAAATATTTTCCATTAGGCTCAAAAGCCCGAAAAACTCAACACTTTAAAGTGCATTTTATAATTATATGTATTTCGTTTTGTCTTCGAATGTATTTTAGTTATATTTGCGGAATTTTTCAATTGAACACCTGCATTGGTTTACACTTTTAGTTGCAATTTCGCACATCTAATGATAAGAAATATAAGTCGTTTTCAAAGTGTATATGCGTGTTTCCGATTTCGCATAAACTTTGACGCATGAAAGGTAGCAAAAAATGTAATAATCATTGTTGTTGATTAAATAGTGTCTGCATAATACTTCACGTGTACATGTGGGAAACCATTCGTTCTCTACATGATATTTGGCGAATCTTTTCACTAACTATAACGTTAACAGCGATAAGACTATCAGAGATACATACATACTCTCTATACTTAATTGAACTCGAAAATAAATATTATATTAGTAGAAACACAGAGACTCTGCGCAGTTTACGATCGTGTGAAATGCAATACGAGCGTTCGGAGATACGCACAATGTTGACTAAAATTCAATTCAACTTTTTTAGATTCTTATTAAACAAATTCTTTGTTTGATTTAACAATTCGTTTTTTTTAATCAACAAGCAGCAAGGAAAATCAGCATGCCAAATTTACGTGTTCGACGAAATATTTCTATGTGAAACGTTGGCCTAGCTATGCTGGGTTTTCATTAATGATTATAAATTCTCGTAAAAAAAATCGTTTTTCATTAAATGAAAGGTTTTTATATGGACGTTTTTTTCTACTTTTTGCTGCCTAATTTGCTACTTTTGTTTGGGGTTGCCTAAGCGAATTTAAATAATTTGTTAAATATTTCATAAAAGTATGCTGGCGGTGACTGTAGCTTCAACACTACTGTCTAAAGTGTTGAGATTTCAGCAGAAATCCTACAGCTTCTCAAAAAATTATAATAAACTGTACAGGGTGTTTTAATAGTGTCATGTTTTTGGGTCAAAGTTTAAATCCGTCTGCGGTCAAAACCGGGTAACTCAGACCAAAAAAATGTATACGATATAAGCCTTTTGTCGTTTAGTAATTTAGATCTTTAATCGTCTGTGTACCTTGAGTCATGCGAGAGATATTAATTTTTTTATGACCAGTCACATGTTTGGCCCGAAATATACTTCAACTTTTTATGCGAAGAAATTTTCCACCGAAAACGTTGTCCAAACAAAATTTTATTGCAACCTCTGGCGGTTTTGTTACTTATGTAACTCCATAAAGAAATAATTCAAAAAATATATCTGTAGGCGTGAAAACAAGACACATTTTTCCTTACGAAAACCGTTTTTTTGCAAATTAAGAAAAGGTTTAAGTAAATTCCGGGTGGAAAATGTGAAAAAGTGTAAAAAAATTAATTTAATCGTATACTTTTTCTTTTTCTAGGCTAATCTGTGTTGTCCGCAGACAAATTTAAACTTTCACCAAGAAAACGTTTTTAGCAACAGTATTTAAACACCCTGCACAATATGTGTGATTCATTTGTTGCTAATTTGGCAATTGAAATTTTGTCGAATAATCGAGCTTTGATTGGATGAAAAAATTATTCAAATCGGATCACCGACTGAGAACATATTCACAGTCAAAAGTTAGGGAATTTACGCGAGTTTTGAGGAAACATATCGTTGTCTAAATCGTCGATTCTAATTTCATATTCTATTTGGGTTTTTGAAGCAAAAGTGAGCAAAACCATCCAGAAGGAATCTTAGTGATCAAATATATTTGCATTGAGATGAGAAAAAATGTACAGAGGGTTTCTAATTAAAAAAAATGGAGAAAAGCCGCCTTGGAAGATTATTTTTTCTATATATTATCTATAGACATATGGTAATTAACTTTTTGGCATTTCGTGATTAATCCTTGTTCGTTAGCAAACATAAAAAAAATTAAAGCCGATTAGAAACTATAAATTATTTCGTTTTTTTATTACTAAATCAAATCAAGTCATTAAATTAAAATATGCTTAAATGCCGCAGAAATTTTCAAATATATTTTATGGACAAATCGAATCATTGACAAAAAAAAACAACAGTACACGACATAAAACAAACAAACTTTTTGCAAAAAATACCAAATATACAGAATATTCTATTAAAAATAACGCAATTTTTTTCCATCAAATAGACAACGACATATCGAAAAATTCCTCCGTGTTCATGCCCGACTGTGGGAGTTTGTATTAAAATGTACCTAAAATTATTTAATTCACAGAAGCAAAGCTCACACTGTATGTACAGGATTAGTATGAAATTGTCTTATTACGTGCGAATGTGTAGATACGCAAAACATATTTGCTTGTCGTTATCGTTCGAGCTGCATCTACTCAATTTGGTTTTGTTAATACAGAATATTTCCTAAAAGCTTTAACGACATTAACTTCAAGTCAAATCGGCCGTTGGTGTATGTACTGTTGGTGGGTCATTAAAAACTGAAGAGGAGAACAATTACTTTTTGAGTGAATTTTTCGACTAATGCTCATATTTTGTAGTCATCCCCATTTTCAATTTGATTAAAGTTACCACTGTATCCGTGGAAAATAGCTTTACCAGAAGAAATTTTGCAATCTTGGGTGAATTCATCAGTTCATGTTGAATCGATTTTCTAGGTATCGTGAAGCTCCGAGAGCGTTTCCATAAGTAGCTTTTACTTTTGTTTCACGTTCAAAGTTGTTGGTTTTCGATAATTCCAAAGTTATGTTTGATACATTAACCATGTTGTGTTGGTTTGGTTGTGGTTGGGTGTAGACCGTCGGTCGCGTACTGCGATAAACGTGTGAAACCAAACGCAGAATAATTTCCAGTTTGTTCTTGTTGGTCAGCCAGTGAGTTTGCAACAACCCGAAAAGTTCGCTAGGTTTTGTTCAGTGGAAATTTCATTCAGTTTATGTAGAAATTGGAGCGGAAAACAATGCACAATCGTTTAACGTGGGAAAAATTTCAAAAACCTATTCGGTATTCAATGACCCGGTCGGCCAGCATTGTAAATGTAAATTCGCGTTGATGAAGATACCAATTACATTCTAGATTTGAGCTTCTGTGATATAAATATTTGCCCGGTTCTGTTCACTGGAAACAAGTCTGTGATATAAAAATGGTAGCCGAGAGTGATACAGTGATTTGCTTAGAAAGACATTGTCAAGGCGCGCACCATGAAGGTGTCGATTGTTCTAAGCCAGAATACGAAATAAATAATAATAGTGATAATTTTGGTACAAATGGAGAGTATGGGAGAAATGCTGTGATGGTTCGCAAAAGCAATGCCATCCAGTATAGGTGAGGATTTGTTTATCCGATCAATCTTATGCAAATTTTCCTTGGCCTTTTACATATAATAGTGTTTTTGTATTATTTTTCCAGGACAATCCAGGACCCAGCTAGCCAAAGGTTGACATGGTACAAGCCGCCTTTGACTGTTCTGGTCATAAAGAAGGTGCGAGATGCCACAGTTTACTCCCCTTTTGTTAAATTAGTGCAATGGCTCATACAGGTAAGCAAACGATCCTGAACTAGGAAAATAATCACCGGCATTATAGTCATATTTGCCAAGGTTGTGAATTGCGAAAAACCACAAAAATGTTAACTGGCTATTAAGCAATATTGACTGTTTCAATTGGGAAGTTTTTACATAATAATAGCGGAAATGTACCTATATTTAGATGCCCACGAAAAAATACATTTGTGGTCATCTAACCCAGGCCAGGTCGTTCAATTACGTGCGTGTGTTCTTCTACGCTCGTACTGTTTAAACTTTCCATTTCTTGTCTTTTGCCTTGACACAGAAACACTAGTGTTTTTGTTACGTTTACGCATTTTACTACATTTGAGGAGTTTTTCGATTAGATTTGGTGAAATCCTAAACCGCAAGTCATGAATGACTT